TTATTTTGAAGCCACATCTTCCGCGCGATATTCCTCAGGAGGCGAATTTTCTCGAAGCTAATTTTCAGGGGGGGCGAATTTTGGGGAGCGATTGATTTTACCTAGGCGAATTTACCGCACACGGTTTGAAAGGTCTATATAAAATCTAAGAAACGTCCGGACGATCTTTGGTGAGTGTCTCAGAAGGTTCTTTAAACAATCTTTGAGAATGTTTGTTTCTAAGGTCTCTCAAAGATCTTCCAGATGGTTTTGGACAACATTTTTTTAAGCCACCTGAGAATGTTGATTTCGACCCCTATTTTGGAGCATGGGTATGGGTTAGTTAATACAGTCCCTACGAAAGTTAACGCGGTACCGATGGTAGTGATGTCACTTTTCGACGATATGGTGAAGCTCCTGGGAGCGAAGATACTGCCGATAAATTCTTCGAGAGGGAATCATCCGAGGACAAATACTCGAGGGGATAGATTTCTTGGGTCCCAAAATCCCTGCGGCAAATTATTTTAAAACCTGGCGCTAATCCTCTGGAGGCGAATTTTCTCGAAGCGAATCTTCCACGGTTAGAAAGCTATATAAAATCTAAGAATCTTGTAAATAACGTCCGGAGAACCTCTGGTGGGTGTCTCAGAAGGTTCTTTAAACAATCTTTGAAGATTGTTTCTAAAGTCTTTACAAAGTCTGTAAAATTACTCAAGGATGTTAATAATTTGGAGAATATTTAGGTAATATTTAAAGGATCTACAGTAATCTTAAAAAGACTACTGAGGAATCTTGGAAAAAGAACCTCTGAGTACTCCCTGAAGTATCTAACCTCCAAAATTGTATGGTACTTTTCTTTTTATTATAAAGACGACCTTATTTCCTGTCCTTAGAAAGTTTACGCTTCATTTTCCAGTCATATTCCTATATAAATTTTCTTAAAGATTATCTCATAGGCCTTCCTTGGCCCTTAGCAAGTTTTTTAAATAAAAAAATCATGGGAATTCGGTCGGAAACTTTAGAAACCCATAGAGGCTACCTGGCAGCTGTTGAACCTGAATTATCATGTGTGACCCAGTGATTCGGAGAGTGAGGTGAACTGCTGGAAAAGTGGGCATATTGCTCAGAACTGCGATAGACCTTTAATGCAACGCTGCTTCACTTGTAGTTCACCTGAAATTACTCGTAGTGATTGCGGAAAGTGTGCTCGTCTTCGGAAAACGACCATGGGGGATGGTAGAAAGGAGCCAGCTATCATCTCTTGAATCTCGGGAGGCCAATCATGTTCGTTGTTTGTTAGATTATCTGTGCTCACATTTTCAGGGGGATGATTATGGTCAATATTGGGAAAAGACATATTGGGATTATTAGATTCGGGAGCTACAAAAGGGTTGGAGGATTTTAAAGGGAATTGGTATGTCGTATCTATTAAAAACCGATGTTAAAAATGTTACAGTAGCGAATGGTGAATCGTGTGCTGGTCTGGGTATCCTTCGAGTACCAGTTAGACTAAGGGAGGTGGTAAAAATCATCGACATTTTAGATGTTCCTAAATTAAGTCAGTTGGGATGGAATTTTGGACTAAGATGGGGATTTACGGGCAAATGAGTGGAAATTTTCGGTTGAAGGTGATGAGCAAATACAATAGGCACGGTAGACATCTTGAAATCTCGACAGAATTTGGACAAGGACCAGAAACTTGAGCTGGGGTCGTCGAGAGGGTACCAGAAGATTTCGGTTGAACATACAAGATAATATAGAACCAATTAAACAGAGCTGTTACCCGGGATGTCCAGCCTGGTTAAAAGAAATCGACGTGGAATGTTGGACAAAGGTGCAATCGAACCATCGACGAGTCCTTGGAGCAGCCCAAGGAAGGACGGTTCGTGGAGATTTTGTGTAGAATGATGAAATCATCAAAATTTAAATGGAATTAAGAACGGTCAAAACCTGGATGGTGTCAGCTCCAATATTATCCTGCCCAGACCACACAAACAATTCGTTATCCAGACGGATGCAAGTTCCTTTGGCATAGGGGCCGTTTTGAGTCAGGATTACAAGGGGGAAGGGAAAAAAGTAAAAAAGTATTTATCCAATTCTCTTACTATGCAAGAACGGAAGTACTCCACAAAGGAGTGTTTAACGGTACTGTGGAATACCGAGAAAGTTCGACCCTGTATTGAAGGTAATCACAGGCCATTGGTCCCTACTGTGGCTGATGAACTGGAAAGAAACTTCTGGTAGGCTTGGTCGTTGGATTCTTCGTTTCCAAAGAACCCGTTATAAGGGTTGTACCGTATTGGTGATGGTCGATCCGTTTAGTAAGTTCTTTGAGTACCCAAGTAATATCGTAGAAAAGTCTGCTTAGAAATGTCTAAAAAAAACTGCATTATTTATTCTCCATCATCATAGAAATATTTTTGAAGATCTTACCTATTTGGTAAGAGGTTAGTAGGAAATGATGGTCGAATTCTGACTGTGAAGCTTAGACACTTCTTCTTGTAGCATTCAATATCCGTGCCTAAGATTTCTTTTTAACAAGATTCAAAAAGAATTATATTGAAAATCCAAGATTTAGTAAACGAGTCCACTATCAAAAATGTGGAAAAGGAACATATGTTCGCCTTTTTGAGTTACGTATACTACGCAGTTCGTAGGTGATTTCATTCGAGTTGCTCAATAGTATCTTGCCTCATTATTTTTAATTAATGCTGTTTCTGTAACAACAAATTATTCGAACTTAGTCTTAATGTCATCGATACTTCTAGCATTTCTGGTTTTTCATTCAGACCACTCTGCTCTACCTCATTGCGAAACGAGTTCAATCATTTTACGGCATTCCGCGCGGCGAGGTCCTAAATCACAATTTTCATTTTCATTCAGAAACTCGTACGTATTAGTTCCGTTTTTTTCGCCGCGCTTTGTCGCGAAATAATTGTACGTATTTATTAAACAATAAAATGTTTATTAGACACATCTAGCGCATTTTACACTTATCTATAAAATTTTACGCGGTGATTTTTGCGAGCAATACTCACAAACGACTAAGTGGTAATACGTGTTTGGTTAGTATGAAATGTAAAATGCTCGCATACAGTTAAACGAAACGAACTTAAAACCTGTACGTCCAAAGAAAGGCGACAAATTTACAAGCACGTCGAGATTCCGCGCGCCGATTAAGGAAGACATGAGAATTAGCACCTTGATCCATCCCGGAAAAGTGTCAAACAAAACACGGAATTAGGGGCACTTACACTATTTTGTATAAACAGTAATGAAGACAGATTTTCGTAATGGAAAGTAATTTTTATGCATTTTTTTTAACAGCTACAATGGGGTGTATAGAAGATTTAGGTGGCTCTTGGAGACTCTACAAGTTATTTTCCCTAAAAGTCATCCTCTTAATAAGGGTCTTAAAAATCTCCTCCAGGGTCGAATTTCAAACGGTCTTAAAAACTAAGGCTCTTAAAAAGCTTTTAAAAATTTAGCCGTCTAAAAAGAGTACCATACATACATGCATACCTTGTATTTCCGGTTAGCTCGAAAACAAACCAATAAATTCAATATTTTTCAAAAATTTTGCACATGTAACAAATTAATTTAAAAAAATGGGGGAAGGGCAATTTCACTTGAAACCTTTCAGAAAACTTTTCTTTCTTTAGGTATTTGGAAAAACATGAGACATTAGAAGGGAAATTATTGGGAAATCTGTCATCTTACGAAATTTTTCTGAAATTTATATAAACTATTAGAAATTAATAGGTAATTAATATTTATTGCCCAGGATTTATTTATATTAATTGACCTTTTGGCAAATTTTCCATGAAATTTAAAAGAAAGATTTTTCGGAATGCTCCTAGACATTTTGGATAACGGTGGCTGTCGAAAGTTCTTTTTAAAAAACCTGTTCGTGGAAACACTGCCCTTCTGAGAGCGTCTCGTAAAAAATTTTTACTAAAACTTGCAATAAACGGTTCAGAAAAGTCTTCTTGAAAACATTTTTCTGAACGCCCCAAAAACAATACAAATTGTATCTTTCCGCCCAATCATTCCAAAGATGTGAATTTCGAGTGGTCTGCGATTTTACGAATATATGGAAAATTTAAAAATATTAATAATGAATAGGTACATTTTTGCTCAGGATTTATTGATAACAAATTTAAGTGTACCCGAAGGCCAATTTCATCATATTTCAAAAATTCAAGTACCTACATGTGACAAATGAATTAGGTATGTATGAAAAATTTTATAAAAAGATATTTTACAATAAATTATCCTCAACATTTTTACAGCATACATGGAAACCTTCTAAAACAACCTGTTCGTAGTAGATTTCTTTTATAAAAAAATTTGCGTTCAAAGTTTTATAAAATATTTGATAAATCTCTCGGATACAATACAAATTGTTCCTTTCCGCCCAATACTTTGCATGGTGCAATTTTGGGAGGTTTGATGAAATTTCGAAAAGGGAAGGGGCATTTGTCAGAAACTTCTGTTTCCCAAACTCTAAAATTTCCGAATATTATTCAATTTTTCTCAACGTCCATAATTTTGTATAAACCTCCTTAGGTCTGTGAATAAATTTTCTTGGAAAACATGGTATGCTCACTAAAACAATTTCTATTTTTGGAATATTCCTAAATTTTATTAGGAACCTTTCCAAAAAAAAACCATCATTTGCAATGATTTGGACAGTGCCCCACAGGAACTTCACTAGAAGTCTTTTTGTAAAACTTCTTAGGCAAAGAAATCTTCCAGTCATCAAGTACTTCTTCCTTTAGAAAAGATGTTTTCCAGGGATCAGAACTATTCGTCATTTATACTTGAAAACGGTGACATAAATAATTTTCATTTAAAATTGAGATATTAGCAAAGAGAAAAATATTTTGCTTCTTTTTTAAAAAACAATAAAGGACTTAATTACTTAATTAAACGAGGACTTTTCAAGGTTAATCGGTTACGTAACGCAATTAAAGATTAGAACGCGATTCAGAAAACCGTTTAGAATAGGTAATGGGAGATTGGCTCGTCCGAAGCAGGCTGGCTTGTAGAGAAAATCTTCAAGGGTTCGCAGTATGGAAGTGCATCCGCCACGTAAGTGTTTCACTGTACTACTAAAAACTGTGTAAAAACTTATGTCCAGATTGTTACGGGGCGAGACACACCCAGACGATGCTGCTCGTTTGCCTAATGGCGCTATCGTTCGGAATGAGAGCCAATTTATCGGTTGGGATTGTTGCGATGACCGATCCAGAGGCCAGTCCCAATCCAGACGTTCCTGTAAGTCATATTCTTCCCCCCATGAAACTGAACTTCGTAAGCCTTTAGACGTTTGTATGGCGCGACCAAAGCGTAATCATGTCATCGTTCTACTGGGGTTACCTGATCACGCACTTTGTGGCTGGGCCACTGGCGAAAAACTACGGCCCCAAGCTGTTTCTAATTCTAACCACTGCGATCGGATCCTTGGCCTCGATTGCTCTACCATTTGTCGCGCATTTCGGCTCGTGGGCGGTTATAGCGTGCAGAGTCGTCCAGGGTCTCGCCCAAGGATTTATTTTTCCGAGCGTTCACTGCCTCCTCTCCAAGTGGGTGCCTCCACTGGAACGCGCGCGGCTCGGCGCTTTTGTGTACACCGGTAAGTGGGAGATTCTCAACAAGTGGGACGTTAAGACTTTTAGGTGGACCTTTTGGTAGTGTAATATCCATGCCGTTTTCTGGGTGGATCTCTGGAACGTGGCTGGGATGGCCGTACGCCTTTTACATTTATGGTGCCGTCGGGCTCGCGTGGACGATTGTGTGGGTCATTCTCGGACGAAATAGTCCGTCCGATCACAAAGGGATTAACCCCCAGGAAAAGGAGTACATCGAAGTGAGCTTGGGACAAATCCAAAGGAGCACCGTACGTGTTTGCACTTTGAAAAAAGTGAATAGTGTGTTTTTTAGCCCCCTCCAACTCCTTGGAAGCAGATACTGACCTCGCTACCTGTTTGGGCGCTAATTCTAGTCCACTCGGGGCACAGCTGGGGTTTCACCACGCTCCTGACCAATATACCCACATTCATGGCTAACGTTCTACATTTCGATATCAAGAGTGTAAGTCCAGCATAGACGGCGGTCTTGGTGCATGTTTAAATTGCAGAATGGGTTGCTATCGGCGGGCCCATACCTCGCGTTGTGGGCGTGGAGTTTAGTGTTTAGCTCCATGACCGACTTCGTCATAACACGCCGATACTTGACCACGGGAACGGCTCGCAAAGTCGCCAACACCATTGGTAAATATTCTCCCACCAAACAACGATATAATTCAATCTTGTAGGTCTGTGTGGACCGGCCGCGGCGCTAGTGGCACTAGGTCTTCTCAGTAGCTCACAGGCTGACATCACATCCACCATTCTCACCCTTCTCTTCGTCGCCGTTGGTATTAACGGTAGCGCTTATAGTGGGTACAGCGTAAATCACATGGATCTTTCCCCTAATCACGCCGGAACGCTTATAGGGCTAAGTAACGGAATTTCCAACATATTTTCCATCATCGGTCCGCTTCTGTTGCAATTCATTGTTACCGAACAGGTGCGCTTACCTTCAAAATTCGCGCAGAAATTACTAGATTTTGTTGTAGGATAACCCCATGCAGTGGGCCGTTATTTTCTACGTTGCTTCGGCGATTTACGTAGCGGTGACCGTTATTTTTGACATATTTGCATCCGGCGAGCAACAACCTTGGAATGACGAACCAGGATCTAAACCTAAACCTGTCGCGGTTCTCGATTCTGCCTAGGTTAACGTATTGTGTATTCATACGAATAAAATGTACGTGTACTGGGGGGTATTGCATGCCCCTCGGTAGTACGTCCCCTCGCAGAACGTGAGCTAATTACGACGGCCTTCTTTTTCACACCCAAAATGTCCCTAGTTCAATCGTCCTTTTTCCGAAATGTGTAGGGCAAGTGCTATGGTGCAGTAATACTCGTTTGGGCAAAAACGTGGAACCGGGGGATCTCAGGTATAGAATACACTCAGCCAAGGAAAACATGAGGAGCTTTTCTCTCAATCATTTGTTTACTCATACGAATCCAGTCTACGTATACTGGGGGATATTCCATACCCCCCAGTACTACGTTCTCTCGCAAAACGTAAATCCCTGAGGACCGCTTTCCTTTCCACACCCAACATGCCCCTAGTTCAATAAGTAGTTGCACTAAGGGGGAGTTTTCTAAAAAAATTCTTGGGGTTTTGTTCGAACACTTTTTTCCGAGTTAATCTTTCGAAGGGACGAATATTCCTGAGGGAGAGAATTTTTGCGGGCGGAGTGAAGTTTCCGTATTGTCAAAGAAATACAAAAGCGCGTTTTATTACCCCCAAACCTTGAGAAGTGTTGCTTTAAACTCATTAGGAGCAAGTTCCCGGTGAGCTGGTATTCCAGCGGTTCCAGGGCGAATCTACTGATGGCTTTCCTGTGAGTGGTGGATTTACGGGAACGAACTTTAATTTTACCACAGAAGCGAAGAGAACTTCCGAGTACAATGCGCTTATTTCAAAATCAACTTTATTCATCTCGATCCTTTGGACCAATGCTTTTCAAACATACATTTTCTAATAAAGTTCTGGATGAGCGAATATTCTAGCAGAAACGAAAATTTGGTAGGTGAGTGCCGTTTTTGAGCGTATTATTGGAAAGACAGTCAGTCTTTATAACTGTAAAGTTCTTGTGATCGAACAAACGCGTATTAAGAGGTTGTCGTCGTGATACAATAGTGTTTTAAGGTCGAATTAAAGAAGTGAAGTTTACGAAGAAGTAATTGTTTCTCAGTACCCGTTAAATCAAAGAGCCATGTTTTACATCATTACTTACAACGAACCTAGTGTCGTCCAAATCGAGATTGAAGTGCTATAATTAAAGTCTAGGAGTCGCGAAGCATGGTGTTTTGTGTTAGTGTGTCTGTTTGAAAATCGTTTATTAACATTTGAAGATAATTGAGACTTCTTTTAATTAATTTGTTCTATCGATCGCTTGTTGCATGTTATTCTGACCTTGAGTGCCTGTTTTTCTTTCAAATTGTTTGATTGTTTTAAGTCGAATAGATTTGTTCATCTGTAAATGGTTGGTTTTGTGAATAATCGAGCTCAAATTACGACCTAGAAGAGTATTCATACTAAATTTTTCTATTTCATACCCAGAATTTCATCAGGTATTAATTGAAAAAATTTTAATTAACTCTTTTTTGGAGGCGGTTAAGGCTGCTGCATAAAATTTAATATCAAGATTTTCCCAGCAGCAGATTCTGGACGTGCCCTAGCAAAATTTTTGTTTAGATTCCTAAAAAATTCCTTCTCAATGTTTAGAGGTGCTCTAAACTCCTTTGGAGCAAGCTCCAGCTGTGATCACCTTGAATGTCCCGAGATGAGGGTACTTGGCTGCCAGTTTTTTCGTGAGCGATTTTTTTTACAAAAGCCGAAAGAAGCTCTGGGATTTAATAGATAGTTCCAAGGGAGAGTTTTGTAGGACAATATGTAGGGAAGGGGGGCACGAAATTATCTAAGAGTGAGTTTTCTTGACGGTGAATATTCCTGAGAATTTTCTTATTTCCAATATTTGGAGCTGTTCGGTACTCCTTTGGAGCAAGTGCTTGCTTTTCTAAGGAAACTCTAGGGGTGGGTAGTTGTTCCAGGGGTGTGTTTTTTAAGGACTTCTGGAGGCTCGTTATTTATTAATCGAAAGTTTTTGTATAGGAGCAACTGAGGAACGCATATGTTCTGGGAACAAACACCTAGGGGAGGGGGAGGAGGTTCTATTGGGAACATATTGGGAATCATCCGACAGCGAATATCTCGATGGTGAAATGGCCGGGAAGAAAACTCTTGTAAGAGAAAATTTCTGACGCGAATTTACCGGAGAGAACTTTAATTTGACTGCAGATAGTTCTGAGGAAATAGCACTTCTTTTAAGGGCGACTTTTTTGCATCTAGAGCTTTTTTGAACATATATGGTGCACGTTTCTGGTGGTGATTCCAGGAGGTGAATTTCTCTACGCCTACTAACATTCGAAGTCCTTATGGTTCCCCGAATACTGTCTCCCCCGATTGCGCCTTACCTCTCCCTCTCAAATGCCAAATCGCATCTTCACGTGGTACAATATGTTTTCACTGACGAGGATATGGCAACAGAGGGATTTCCGGAATAAGAAGTCAACCAACGACACCAGGACAGGATTGCCAGAAGACAATGTTCTTGAACTAAAATTGAAAAGAGTAAAGGAACGGGATCTGGTAAAATTAAGGGAGATGGATAAAGAATATATAGGAAGGGCAATGGGCATTCAAATGAAAATGGAGGCTACTGTAACGAAGAGTCATGAAACTACAAAAGACAAATTGAAGAGCATGAAGAAGTGACGAAAGAGGTGAAATGATTGAAAAGATGGAATTAAGAAGGAAGTATAAGCGGCCAAGTACCGAAGAGGGAAGAAATAGATACCGAGGACTGGAAAATGAGTTAAGAAGAGAAACTCAAAGGGCGAGGGAGCAATGGCTGCTAAATGTATGCAAGGAGATAGAAGAGTTCGATCTAATAGAAAACCAAACGAGGAAGATCTGTAAGTCAGCGCCGTGGACCTCTGGAAAAGGCACTCGATTATTTGAAATACCAAAAAACTGAAATTTGAAGGGTGTTGATTGGAGAGAAAGAAGCAACTTGTACATGAAGCAGGAGGTGGCACTGAAGGTGACTGAACGGTTTGGAATAAGAAGAGGAGGCAGGGATGTTGTCTATCATCAACCTTATTTAATATCTACATGGAGGATATCGTGAGTAAGCGCTGGGAAAGGATTAAAGCGGGTAGGTTCACCAAGATATATTGAATTGCCAGCATTGCAAGAACGAATTTTATGCACTAATTTCGGCGTCTAAACGGCAAAAGACATTCCCTTGCCCATATGACTGTTAGGTACAGATTCAGATTCATTATAGCTGGAACAGGCCCAAATTCCCCTGTTTCCCTGACCTTTCAAAAACGGCGGCGCTCCTATGAAAAAATTTACTCATCAACCGGTCCGCGTTTGCTTCATTACTCATTCCAGCAACCAATCATAGAACTTTCAAATGTGACAACAACAAATAGAAATGCGTCGATTGAATAATGAAACCCAATTTGGTCAACATTTACGTTGAAATGATACTCTTTCCATTTAAGCGTGAGTCATTAATAAATTTCAGGTCCTCCTTTTTTCAGTATCGACTGATTTATTTATAAATCTTCGGGTTGACGAACCTTTACTGTAATATGAAGGTATATTTTTGGGTATGCGGTCCCCTTTGCGAAAACGTCTAGGAACAAAAATACGGAACCTGTCGCATCGATGTTTAGTTTAGTAGAGGAAAAAAAAGATCCGAGCAAAACGAGCGTGATGAAGCAGAAGACGCCGCCTCGCCATCGACGGGCACACCAGTGAAGAATATGTGGAGCGGATACTAAGCTGTTAAACCAGCTTATTGAGATGAATTTCTTTTAAGATCTTACCGGAAATTCCAACGAACGCAACTTGTGCAAAGTGAATTTTAAGAACGTTCGCACAAAGTGGAAGAAGGTAAATGTCAAGGCGAGTGTGATTGAGTGAATGGCAATTAATAAACAATTCCAAAAGATGAGATGTTAATCTTTTCAGCAATGGTTAAGTTAATATATAATTGTCAGCAGCTCGTGAAATCGACATGCACCGCGGGCCGGATTGCAACATCTTTCTTTAGACTATTATTAATAAAGCCAAGCTATTGTTTCTATTCACCTGAAGCGTTGAGTCATACTGAATGTGAATCAGAAGTCTTAAAGGAAGCGATTTTTGACCAATTCCGTCGAGTTTGCTTTCACTTTTTTATGTACTAATTTTTGCAACCTGAAATTTGCATTTAGGGCGTCGTCCAAAGTTAAGAGATTTGAGTTTCTCAACCTCAGGCCCTAAAGCAAAACGACGGTTTTTCGATATAACTTTTTTTGATATTGAAAATCTCCAACATACTAGGGGCCGTTTTAATATTCCCTTAGTGGGCTGCTTTGAATTTTGATGCAATTTTTCATTATGCTGTTTTTTAATCACATATGCCTGGTAACTTGTGTGGCAATTTATCACGGGATGATGATCCCCGTCTAGGGCGCCATGTTGACGTGATCACTTCAGATGTCGTTGAAAAAACCAAATGCATATTTTCATACTGGATTAAAGATGTTATTGAAACGGTGTTCAACAGCATATTGAAAAATAAAATTTTGTTGTTGTTCTAGTCCGGGGATATAAACGACCCCTCGTACCTGCTTCTAGGTGAAGCGCTTCTGATGGGGACTCGGAAAATGCGGGTTCTACTTACCCCCAGAATTATTTCTTGGGGTAGCAACTTTAGAAAAAATTACAAAATCGAAGAGAAATCAGACTTATTCAGAGAAGAAACGAAATTTCGATCCTTAGCTTATTTGAAAAAAATATCCAACGTTTTTGTACCAACCCTATTATTTTCGTTGTTGAATGTGCCCTTTATAATTTTGTGAAACGAGTCGTATTTCTGAAAATCCTACTTCTAGGTGCACACACACTTCTTCCAGTACTGTTTCGAGATTCAACCTCCTCCTTCGAAAGAAAGCAATCTACATACATACTTTCCATTTGTGATCAGTGCATGGTTAAAGGGGGCACATTTTTTCAAATAGCAACCACTAATTTTTATTACACGTTCTTTAAGAATACACTTTTTTGGATATAGCAGCACAAAAAACTTATATTACATAATCAAGTTTAAGAGAAAAACTCAAATTAAG